CGTTAAGCCCCTGTCGGTCACCGGCAATGAGCACAACCTTATCAACCGATTGAAGGCATTGGAGAGTCGAGTGTTGGCCGCCGTTGAGTCAGCACAAGCCAGAGGTCCGAGAGGTTTACGCACTGATTTAGTTATGAAGGGTTATTACGATAAGGTTAGTTTTCAAACGTTATTTGATAAGTAAATAAATTGACCATTATTTACTAACCATGTATATTTTAGACCAATGCTTTTTTAAGCGCTGAGTTCCCTAAATTGAATGAAGCGATCGGTAATATACCCTCAGCTGCACTCAGACAGCAAACCATTCAACAACTGATCATCGATTTGACACACTTTGCAGAAATGCCCTTTATGCTTTAATTATAAATAGATTGAATAACCGACCACAATGATTTAATTTTTAATTGTTTATAAAAGACAAATATAGAATATAATTTTTTTTAAATTTAATATTATTTTAAATATAATATAATAAATTAATTACTTTTATGCATATAACAGTTGCATATTTAAATAAATAGATTTTTTAAATATTATATTTATAATTAATTTGATCGTTTAGTAAATGAAATTATTAATTGCATATTTTAGAAGATTTCAAATTTTAATATTCATTGAATAATGTGACGCAATAATAAATAACACATTTTTAGTTGGATTTGTTTACAAAATGTTTTTTAATTCATTAATATTGTATTGACTGCAGTGTTGTATCAATTGGTTGACAGCGATGTCCGCATCACTCGATTCACGCATTGTTTCGCAAATATTCACAAATGTTTGCAATTTTTGTAAACCATAAGAATTCTATGGGAAAAACAAATGTTTAGTTTAATTTAATTATAATTATGTTTAAAATTTAAATACTTGGCCCAAATCAAGACACTGTTTGGCATAATTATCTACAAGTTGTCGATAACACTGTCTATTATTGAGCTCTTGTTTAGTGTTTAGAATAGTATTGCTATCGACTGTCAGTAAGTGTTGAATACTATTCACGTATTCAGTCATATGTTGATCAATAGTTTGTCTGCCATTCAATAGAGTTTGCAATTCTTCAGTAAATCTATAAATATAAATTGATTATTAAATTTACATTATTTAATTTTTTTAAAAACAATTACCTTAATTTCTCGTTTACATCCTTTGCATGAATAATATTTTGCTGCAATACATAAACAGCCGCTTCTCTGCTTTTCACAAATTTTATGTTTTCATTCATTAACACAGATTTCGATTCACTTTGAGGTAACTTTTTAGACCCTGAGATAAATAATATTATGCTAATTAGTATACATGGCAAAATAAATTTAATTATATTTATTTTATACCTAAAAATTGTGACAGTGTTAATTTGGCCAGCGATAAATCACCATAATGTTGAGCGTGTTGTGAGCAATTGGACCCCTCAAATTTAAAATTACTATGTTTGGTAAAATATGCAAACTCCTGGTCAAATGTCTCAACAGTGGGATCATTATGGCGCCAATCATCGAACCACATGGCGGCAAAATATGTGCCTAGGCAAAATCAAAAATTATTACCGAGGCCCAACTAATGTACACTAACGCTAATTAATACCTAGACAAGTGTTATATGTATCATCATCGTAATAAAACCAACCATCCTCATCGGGTTTAGTGGCGGTCACGGCATACACATTAATATTATCAGGTAGAATTTTGTTAAACATTGAACCTTGTACAAATAAAATTATCAGATTAAATTATTAAATATATACTAATCAAATATATTAAATTTACCTGATTCACAAGCCTCCAAATAAAACACCATTTGGGAGTATTTTTTTGCTTGGTGCATAGAAACAAGTGCCTTGTTTAAATCATCTGCGTGCAACTGTTTGTCAGGGAAGAACACCAAGCCTGCAACAATAAATTATTATTAGAATTAGTTTAAATTAATTAAAACACATTAATATTTTACGAAAATATTACCTGGTGCACCATGATCCATAAGATATACAAATATACGATCATTTGGTCCGCCCTTAAGAACCTTTTTACCTGCTTTGGCCAACGCATCACTCCCTTGCAATACACCCAAAAAGTTCTACAATATATAAAATTATATATATTAACCAATAATTTTAATTTAACCTAGATTATACAAATTTATTAAGCCAGCATATTTATCAATTTGTTACAATACCTCTGGAGTGACATCTTTTCCGGTATAATGTTTAGGCAGTCCTTCGTAAACATTAGTACCGTTTGGTTCATTGATAATTTTGCCCGGGGTCGGATTACTTTTGTGTGTAGCTATATCATCGTAATGCATAATGATGATTTGCTCTTCAGGTATACCATGCTCCTTTACCAACTGATACGAGTGGTAGACATCGGCCTAACAAATATAAAACAAAGATATTACTAATTCATATTTTGAATATATAATCATTTTTAAAAATACCTGGATGCCATAATTTGGATACCAACCCTTGCCACTGGCGCACAACACAACCCACACTTTGCCTGTGGGGTCGTCATTGAGCAGGGACAATTCGTGGTTAAATGGCACCGCATTTACGGACAATAAACATAATGTAATTATGTAAAATAACTCCATTATAAATTATATAATTGTATAAATTATAAATATTTTATTCTGATCTTTATATACTATTAATTACCTCGTGTGTGGGGCCTCTATCGTTGTTAGATAAAATATATCTATTGTAAAACTAAAAACATCTATTTGAAAACTTCTTGGAAGTGTGTCTCACGTAGCTTTATTTTGTAACTCCAATTCAGTAAGAATATTGTTGTTTATAGTACCACACTGTTCCCTTTCCCAGCTTCACTCCACCCTATGGGATTTAACATGAAATCCCATATTAAATTTATGGTTATACTTTACCATAAGTCTAATGTTAATCTGATGGGTTAATAATAATTTTTTTAATGTTATTATTTTAATATAATAAATATATTTTGTATAGCTTTTATAAGCTTTTCATAATTGTAGTTAACTTATCAAATTGTCGTGCAATCATTGTTTCGTAATAAAAAAGGATTAATATAATACTGTATGAGATATTAAATACAGTACATTTTGTTATATTTTAAATGTTATGATAATTTCAATAATAATAATAATATTAAGAACATATAATCTCAAAAGCATAAAATATCCTAAGCTTAAATGTACTATATTTAAAGTTTAAAATGTGTGTTTAATGTTACAGTGTTATTACAGCTTATTTTAAAAATATTTATTACTGTATTTTTTATGTCCAAGTTTCTTCCAGTTTATTTTGGTAAAAATTCCTGTATAATAAAGGAAATTCCTGCATTTTTGGCAACGTTAATATAATATCCAAAGCTTATTAAATGTCCAAAGCCTATTCAAATTTTGAATTTCAAAGTTTAAGGTTATGTTGAAATTTGGATTATTTTAAAAGTTATTTATACAGATAATATTGTAATTCAATTTTTAATAGATTTTTGGCTTTCAATAAATTGGTTAATTGATTCAGATTTTAAGCAGGTTAATATCTTGCATTTTTATATATGTAATGATAATACACTTTTGGTTATATTTATTATATTTGATTAAGGTATTCATGAATATTATTTTATAAAATATTTATAAACTGATTGTTAGTGTATTGACTGCAGTGTTGTATTAATTGGTTGACAGCGATGTCCGCATCACTCGATTCACGCATTGTTTCACAAATATTCACAAATGTTTGCAATTTTCCCAAAACGTATGGATTCTATATTTTAAATAAATAAAAGTTTACAAAATTTTAAATTTAATAAATCAATACAATAATCACTACCTCTTTAAAACTAAAACAATATTCTTTATATGTGTCGACAAATTTTCGATAACACTGTCTATTATTGAGCTCTTGTTTAGTGTTTAGAATAGCATTGCTATCGACTGTCAGTAAGTGTTGAATACTATTCACGTAATCAGACATATGTTTGTCCACATATTTTCTACCGCTTAGCAAACGTGATAATTCAGTCACATATCTATGAAAAAATAATTACCCGAATTACTTATATTATATAACAACAAAATAGACTAGCTCAGTCATACCCTAATTTCTCGATGTTGTTCACAGAATTAACAATTTGTTTCTCTAGTAAATAAATGGCAACATCGCGTTTATTAACACCCTCGCAGTTGTTATCAAATCTGGCTAGTTCGCCAACATTCAAATGTTTATTTGGCTTTTTGTAACCTATATAAATTTGTTAAATATTAACCCATGTTTTTAAATTAGACACGACGCAAAGTAAATACCTAAAAACTGTGACACAGGTAATTTGGCAATTGATAAATCACCATATTGTTGTGTATGTTCGTAACGATAACCACTACCTGTTTTAGTCTTGTACGATCTATTTTTAACATATTCAAACTGTTCCTGTAGAGTTTCCTTTAGAGTATCAACCGTCTCGGTATTTTCAATCCATGCATTACTATATGCTGAGCCTATTTATTGAACATTAAGGTGAAATAAATTATTTAGCATTAAGTTAATTTAGCAACAAAAAAAACAATTACCAGTATCAGCATGCCGGAATTTATCGTAGCAACAAAAGTTGCTTTCCTCATCGGGTGCCGATGCCGTAGTCACGTATACGTTAATGTCATTGGGTAGCAGTTTGTCAAACATTGAGCCTGGCACAATAAGTATAAAGAAAATAAATTATAACGTATAAAAATAAAGGTAAAATAATACGATTAGATAGAAGTAGGGTTGAGGGACTTTTTATATATGAAGGTGAATCCAAAAATAACATACCCGATTCGCACGATTCTAAATAAAACACTAGTTTGGCAAATTTTCTATCCTGGTGCATTTGCTTTAATGTTGCAATTAGGTCCTCTGCGTAAAGTATTTTATCATTGACAAAATTCACCAGATCTATTATCATAAATTAATTATAGTTTCAATAATAATTAAAATGCTGCTTGATATCACTTACCAGGTGCACCATGGTCAATTAAATAAACAAATACGTGATCATTGGGCCCGCTATCGAGCACTAGAGAGTTATTTCCTGCCATTTCTTTATCTCCCTTAAGCACTGCTAAAAATCTCTATAAAAAAGTTTATTTTACAAATATTATTTTAAATATCATTAAACATAACATTAGCAAAATTATTTAGTTTACAGTTCTCTTTACAGTATACCTCGGGTGTAATGTCATCGCCGGTTACGGCTCGGTCTTTGGGCACACCTTTATATACGTCGGAGCCGTCGGGTCTGTTCACGACTACACCTGGAGTGGGGTTTCGCTTATGGTATGCG